GGGTCCATGAAGCAAATACAAAGAGGAGACGTTGTAATTAAATTTCACTATGAAACAACGCGTGACAATTTGCGGGGTGAGGGGATGCAAAGCCCCGCCCACTTTACAATATCTACATCTACCGAAAAATAGTAAAACTACTCGAATCTTTCCATATCAATGTTGCAATGTAGCTTAGCTACCTTGACGGTAGATGGCGGCATGTCCACAAAATGTTATATACTAAAAAATAATATTTTGACGATTAAAATTTCTTTATGTATGAATGCAAAACAAATTTTAGCACCTTCGTATGATTATTTTATCATTACTGAGCTCAACGTACCTTTATATTTTTAGTTCACAGGACACAAAGTGTCGCCATCTAGTGTGGAATATATTTAATTATATTTGAAAGCCGACGCAGAGATTTTTCTAGAACTATTTTAATAAATTAGGTGTAAAATTATTTACAAATGAGATGTGATGCCATCCATAACATCAGAGCGTCTATCTGAGTAGTGTTTACACAATAAAACACAACACTTCATCCTTTTCTTCTTAATACTACGAAAATACATCGATTTGCGATTTTTTCAACACATAAGCGTACAGGACGAATGCTGACAGTATACTAACTAAAGCCACGCCCACTATGATGACTTCAGGACCTACTTAGAATCACAGTGCACAGTTGCTTATGCCGTCTCCCCTTTGTATTAGCTTCATGAGTGGGACAAACTAGCAGTGATGGTGAACTTTTTCGAGAAATGGGCCAGATTTTGTTCAATATTTTTTAAAGTGGAAACTTCTTTAAAATCGTTGTGATTTGAAAATCAATTAAACGAAAAAGAGACTAACTTAATACATCTATAGAATTTAGCCTGCGAGAATGAGAAAGAATATTATAAATTAGTCGTGTTTAGGACCTTGAGAGTCTATTGATGAGGGCATCCACGACTTTTTTGGCACCAGGGCGGCGCCATTTAAATAATATTTGACGGGTTTCATAGAGGGGGAGTTAATTTGTTCGGAAAATGTAAAGGATAATAAAATATATAAATTGGTTTCTTTCTATACTATTAGTTATTTTTTATATTAATGAGCCTGGAAAGTAGGTAAAAAATTGGCATTAAAATATTATATTATGGTTGAAAATTATCATATTAACTAAATAACTTGCTGTAAAATATTTTCATTTTATATTTCATTTCATTTGAAAGTTTTTTTTCTACTAGTTCTAAAAAATTAAGATCAATTTAAAAGTTTACCTAAATATGATGATACCATAAATTACTGCACCAGCTGACACCATTCCCAATCGACAAGTCTCCCTTGAGTATTACTTACCACGTGCTCGGATGTACCAAAACATCGTGAGAAAATCACCGTCTGAGGAATTTAAAAAAAATATTTCGGAGGCGTGAAGTCCACCAGCACGCGTTGGGGTTGGGGCAGCGCAGCAGACATTTTGTTGCATTAAAACGTTCTCAGGAATGAGAAGAGGCCTGTGCCTAGCTGTGGGAAGTATATAGGCTGTAAAACTCTGCATTTACACGTATAGGTTTTACATATGTATATTAAAAGGTGATGTGTATTTTAATGAGCAATCTTTCGGTGTTTATTTTCAGATGGTTTATTAATACAATAAATTAACATTTTATACTTCCTTTTTTAAATGTTTTTTTGATTGTCTGTATCTCTTTTATTATTTATATAATAAGTTTGGAATAGTTTGATCCTCAGGTCATAGGTTCGCCATCACTGAACTAGTATGTCTTTATGGTTTTGTTATGGTGAAAAATAAGCAATAAATTTAAAGCATGTAGATGTACAATGTGACTATAAATGTTGTGATCTCTGTAAATATCTATTGATGAAAATATACCTAATTAAACCTAACACATACATTTTATTTCTTGACAAATTTTCCATTTCTGTTCTCAAACACAGTTTATTACGGCAATAAGTCATTTGTTTTCTTTTTTTATATAGATATAGAATAAGGGTGACAAATGAGCACACAGTCTAATTGATGGTAAGTGGATGCTGTGGCGATATCTACACCTATCCTTAAGAATCAAAATTCTGATGCATTATCACCCCAGAGAACTTAAATGGGGATTTAGCCGATCCATTTGTGCTACAACTATAATATAGCTGGAGCATGGCTCTACTATGTATTGTATACAGTATATCTATTGATATATTATGTATTGGTTTATAAACATCTCAGGTGTGGGATATATCTTTGTATTACCAGACCAGCCTAGCATATTTATTGTTGTTTGTAGTTGGAACTGTCGCATCATAGATTTTCTGGCTTTCTCTTGAATTAGTGTTAGTAGCTCCCTCAACCTAGTAAGCTAGCCTCAGTTCTTAGAATGCAAGTAATTTTAGCCATTTAGAGATGATTTAACCGATTCAGTGCGGATGGCACGACAGGCCTGCCACCGATGATTTTTGTGTGTGGCGTATGACACGCGAGTCGTGTCTTTTCTTAAATCGTTATAACTCGCTCAAATTGCGTTTTTGGAAGATTTATCCAGAACAAAATATTCATTATTTTGCAAGTAGTTCATGCCTACAGCTTAGTTTCTGGATATATTGAACATTTGAAATTTTTAGGTGTTGACAACCTTTTTTTCTTGTACATGGTACTCTTTTTAGTTTGTGGGTATCATGTTGTGGAAAAATTGTCTAATAAGTAACAAATAATAGCACTCATTGCGATCGCTCACAAACTCAAGTTGTAAATAAATTTCTGGAAAAGAAGTCTCCTGTTTAAAAAAAAATCGTTTGTCTTATTGATTAATTTCGCTTAAAATGGTGGAACTGCCGTCTTATTACTATCATATGGCCGAATAGACCTACGAAATACCATGTGCTCTTGTGATATGGTATAAGGTTTATTTTTGTTTGAAACTGTTCGAAACCGTTCATGCATAAAAAAAGTTCGCTATTAAATAGTATTTTGCCAATCCGCCGCCGTATAGGGTCGGCGTATTTTTGCTTTTGAAAACACTTGTTTTGCTTTTCTTACTAATTAGACGTTTTCAGATCGACTTTACTTTTACATTTGTATAACATTTGTAAATATCAATGAATCATAAACCTTTTTTTTTTCAAATTAAGGTTCTTGATTGTTTGATATTTACAAATGTTATTACTAGGCGAAAATTTTATAAACCAAGGTTTTCCAGGGTGATTTAGCTGTACCTACTTATATAAATGATTTTTTCATAAAACAAAAAATAGTACAAAAGGTTTGTAATCTCTGCATAAAAAAAGTCACTCAATTTCAAAGAAAACACGTAGTTACCCACTAAAAACAAGTATCCTTCCGTTTGTAACTGATGTTTGATGTCAACTAAACTTAATTAGGTCTATACAAGTGATAAGAGCATAAAAAAGAAAATTATTTTTACACATGGCTGATGGCACAATAGGCGTGTCGAACTTCTTCTTCATCTTTCTTCTTCATAAAAATATTCGATAAAAGTAAAAGTTAGCAGCTAAAAGTTGTCGAAAATCGGTGCAGCAACGAATCGGTTAAGACAATCCACTGCCCCATTATAGCATTCTGTGAATGTTATAAAAATTACAGTGGGAAACTGACAGATGGGCAGCAGCATCTGCCTGCCAATACAAATAAACCTAGCAAACTAACAGCATAGCAAAGTGGCGAAGCAATCAGTTTTGTAGCGGTTTCTAACGGTTGCCGTTGAGCAATCAGTTTCAAAATCTATCTATTAATATATGTGTTGGTCTTATGGGATTTTGGTATGGGGAAATGCGGCTGATTCAGAAACTATTTTTATTTTACAGAAGAGGGCCATTAGAGCTATTTACAACCTAAAACCGTGAGTCTCTTAGAGCTAAATTTAAAGAAATAAATATATTAACTATGGCCTCTCAGTATATTTACGAAAATTTAATGTATGTTCACAAAAACAAAGGTAGTTTTAGTAAAAAAAGTGATGTGCATTCTGTAAACACTAGGAACAAACATAAGCTAGTGATACCAGTTTCTCGACTCCACAGAGTCAGTAATACATTCTTGGGGCAATGTATACACTATTACAACAAGGTCCCGGAAAGTGTACAGGCTCTCTCTATTAGCAAGTTTAAATGTTTTGTTAAGTTGAAACTGTATAAAAAGGGTTATTATAGTATAAATGAATACATGGTTGATAATAACCCCTGGGAATGAGGTGATCGCTTCCAAGCTGTTTCTAAAATAAATTTTGTACTTATATAGTTTGTACAACCATTATTCTAAAATTTGCTTTAAAAAAAAAAGTCCCACTGGGTTTCTTTCTGGTTCTTCCCAGGACAGAGGCTTTTTTTCGAACCAGTGGTAAAGTAAAAAATGACTTTCAATAAGAATTATACATGTGATCTATATTGAATAAAAAATTATTCTATTCTATTCAATCCATTGGCCTATGTTCAATGGTGGATTTGGATGGGTTTTTAGAAGAAATTCTCAGAAGCAGCCAGTCTAGAAGTTGGCAGTGTTTCAGTAAGCATGTAAAGCCAATGGTCCTACACCTGATATCTCTAGATGTGTCAGATTACCGTTCCATCAGACAATAATCCTGTACCATGCAGATAGCTGCCGTAAATAAAATTGAATCTAAAGGACTACTATTACTATTACTATTAATTTACAACAAAAACAAAACTCATTATCAAAAGAGAACCATTTTTATTTTGTTTCACATTTAAAATTGTTTATGTAACAATTTCAATATAATTTAAATCAGTAAAGTTATTTTTACAGATGTATCACATAGTTGATGCAATGTTACGCATCAACTTCATTGCAAAAATTAAAATAATGTTACATTTTATAGCTGGTTGACAGATTAAGCATGGTTTTATGTGTGGGAATGTATCACACTATCAAAAATTGTTTTCACACCTTAAATTAACCTTAATACTTGAACAGTATAAACTTATATGCTAATGCAATTCTTAGTTTACCTATGTAACCATTAATCTAAAAATAGCTAACTTTACTCTTTCATTTCTCCCTCTTCATCTTCTTCTTCCGCTCCTCTTACGTAAAGAACATTGTTGCACCTAATTAATACTTCTCCAAGATTTCCTGTAAATATTTTATACATATTAAATAAATTAGTCTGTAGATATTTAGATAGGTCTGAAGATCTAGGAATCCTTGTATAGACACCAGTCTCTCACAAATTGATTGTAGCATAATAATATTAAGCTGTATATTAATTTTAATTTCTAAAGTGAGAGAAAAGAATAAACTTTATTTTTATAATATATTAGAAATGTCGGAAATAAGTATATGCTTTTTGTAGTAGATTTGAAAAAAGACATTTGACAAACAAAAATTTTATGTTGTAGAAATCTATATAAATATTTAATTTATTTTCATTCATATCAATGGCTTAGCTTTCCATTGACGTCAGTGGAGTTTGGTGTTGATACGTATTTTTACAGAAAGATTACACTATTATAAGCACACACACAAAGTCTCAATATACGGAAACGCGTAATTTTTGAGAAAAGAATAATTGAAAATCAATTATTCTTGCAATGTTTACGTCTAACTTGCTAATAAACTGGCGCCATTTTGTAATGTCATTGTCGACGTCAATAGGGATGTCGATTCTTTCCGAAAAAGGTCGATTTTTAAATCGATTCAAATCGTAAGATGTATCGGTTCACAAAAAATCTAAAATGTCTATATTTTTTTAATGTTTCTATTTATAATGTAAATATAAACCCATTTTATGAAAAACAAGAAAGATACCATGATAAATGATCTCTTATTGAAATTTGTTTTATTTAACAGTACCTATTAGGGCAGATAACAAATAAAATAGGTTAGGTTCAACTTATGTCAAAGAACCGAATTGATTGACCCCGACTCCACCTGGTACGAGTCTGTCCTACCCCTAGAGTGGTTTTATAGAGCCGGAGGCGCGTAGGGGGAGCAGCCTCCGCCTGCTGTAACAAATCGTAGGCATCGGACGAGCTGGAGCGGCTGAGGCTGGTCGCCGAAGGCGACCAACAAGCCGAAGCTGCGGAGGGGAGGAGGGATGCCTGCGATTTGTTACGCTAAGGCGTAGAGGTTGCTCTTCCCGCAGCGCCGGAGACGTTGCAGTCTCAAAATAGATACAGAAATCCTTATGAATCAGTCCCCTTATTTTTTTATGATGAAGGGGATTTTTTTCTCATAAAATGGATTTATAAATATATACATTATAAATGCAAACATGAAAAAAATATTGATATTTTAAAATCGATTTTTTGGGAATCGATACAACAGCTTTCGATTTGAATCGATTTAAAAATCGACCTTTTTCGGAAAGAATCGACATCCCTATTGATGTCGACCATGACATTACAAAATGGCGCCAGTTTATTATCAGATTAGACATAAACATTGCAAGAATAATTGATTTTCAATTATTCTTTTCTCAAAAATTACGCATTTCCGTATATTGAGACTTTGTGTGTGTGCTTATAATAGTGTAATCTTTCTGTAAAAATACGTATCAACACCAAACTCCACTGACGTCAATGGAAAGTCGTACCTTCCAGCCACAGTCAACATTTATTTTTGAAGGAAAATTTATAAATTAATGGTTTTCATGTATAGTTGTTACGTAGTCAGCCTCTTACTCTACATTTTAGCCTACATCTTATCTTATTGCAGATAAATTAAAGTTGTAACATGAATGGGTTGGCTTGACTGGGAAAGGATCATACACTCACATAATACAAGCTTAAAATAGCAGCTTGATGCTGATGTGTTACGTGTAGTGAGTGTAGAGAATCTGTAACCCTTTAACACACATTGTGACAACACATCTTCTTTGTGTTTCTTAACCAAAGAAAGTTGTAGAAGTCTACAGGACACAGCATCCACTTACTATCAGGTGGACTAGTGGTCATTTGTCACCCTTATTCTATAAAAAAAAGAAAAAGGGTAGGATAAGATGAGTAAGTCCAGTTGAAAGCTTCTATTTATTGGGAAGCTAAGAACAAGTTAACAATGTGTATTAAAATCAGCCAGTATATTATATGATATTAGACTCATAAGATGAACTGGCTGGAGAATATAAATAATAGTTTAAGTTTCCCATATATACATATTTTGCAAGGATACATAATTGTATCCTTGCAAAATATGATTTACTATCATTTGAAGAAGAATGTTGTTTTCATAAACAATGTGCTGAGGATAATTTTAAATATGAATTATAATGCTAAATTAGACATTAAAGTGATGACAAGCGAATCTGACTAACCTGTACAATTACCGTCAACCATTTCTTCAGTATTAGCGAGCTGTAAATTCATATAACCATCGGCAGATACAAGCAAACCTTTATATTCATGGCCCCACTTAAGTTTTACAAGAACTGCCTTTCCTGTGAGGCTGTTAAGGAATGGCTTGGGGTTAATTGGCATAGCCGCCGCCATTTTTGCTGTTTGTTTTTCCTGCGAATATAGACAACGTTATCGTCATTAACTAAAGTATTGTCAAATTAATACTATATTGTTAACTGTAGTTTTTGCAAAACAACTTACTTGAAAATTTAATATAACCTAAAAGATTCAATTGCCGCCGCTTCCGAAAGCATAGGGCAAGGGCATAGTATGGACAGTGTTGCCAACCCCTAGAAGTTCGAGTCGCTAGACTCAACATCAAAAGTCGCTAGAAAGTCGCTAAAACTAATTCCACCAGAAGCGAACGCAGGATTTTGTATGAGAGAGGCAGAAGAGGCCACCGGCATGCAATGTGAAAGGTTGGGATAGGAGTGTGAAAAAAATTAAAAGTAGGTACATAAGTAATTAGATTATAATTCAAATACACATCGTGTAGAACATAGGTACCTACATATAAAAAAAATACTTTTAATTAAATTATACGAGTATAATCATTGTAACAATCACATAAATTAAAAATACTTGGAAACGTGCATTTGCATTTGTAATAAACAAATAAAAATAATCAAAATTACAATAAAAATATTAAATCAGTTATATTCATCATCGTCACTTAATAAGTCAAATAATTCTTCAGTCTCATGCTCATCTAATACAGCCGCAGCAGAAGTAGAGGGTTGAACGTCGCTCAAAAGCGGATGTTGCAGTTCAACGTTTTTTGTTGTTGCAAAGGAATAGCTTTTGTTCGTTCCAATAAGCTGCAGCACTTCCGACGGTATTTCAAGAGATGCACAATTTTTATTTTGTTTTTTTAACTGATCTCTCAACAGGATCAACGCATTAATAGTTTTTAACGACAATCTATTGCGTTGTTTTGTTTTTATTATAATCATAGAACTGAAGACTCTCTCGACTTCAGCGTTTGAGTGTGGTAGTATTAAAATAGTGATTGCCAATTGTGAAATCAAAGAAAAAGGATTTTCTCCTACGGCATTTTTATACTGCAAAACCTCAATCCAAAATCGAACAGTGTTAGTAGTGTTGTTCCACTTTATAAAGTTAATATTATGCCATTCTTGCAGCATACCGTCTATAAACTCGTTACTAAAACCTAATTCTTTGGCTACATCGGCTAATGCATTAGTTTTATTCACTTTTAATGTTTCTTCAACATTTAACATTGACATTTTTTTCAGGATAGTGACATTGCTTGGTAGTCTTTGCTGAATCTGCTTTATGAGTTTCAGACTAAAATCGATGCATCTCTTTTTTAAATAAATTTTATTTTCTTGAGACAAACTTGACTCCAACATTTTCTGTTCAAACGTATAGCCAAGGTGCGGATTCGCGTACATACATTCGTTTGGAACTGGTGTTGTCAACAAATCAAATGTAGGAAAAACTATGTTTTTTCCAAGTGACTGCATGAGAAAGACGAGAGTATCTAATAGTTTTGTGGGATCATTGTCTTCCCCTTCAAATGCTTTTAGTGCTATTTGTACGTCTTTTAAAGTTTGTTTAAGATAAAGCATGTAAAGTTGATTTTAGTCATCACAATACATTCTGTACAAAAGATCAGCTGTGTAGCAATTATCATTACCCATTGCAAATGAAAAATGTTGCTTTAGTTCTTCCCACTGCTCCAGAATCCTACAAACAGCTGGTTCAATTGAGAGCCAACGGGTTGCACAGACTTTCAAAATTTTTAGCGGCTGTTTACCATAATTTATAGTTTCATAAACCTTTTTATATTCTTCTTGTCTTTTAGGCGAAATAGAGAACCAATTGTAGGTTTCCCGTACAAGAAACTCTATGTTTCTAGGTAAAGTATTTACGGAGGCGTGTGAAACCGCAAGCTGTAGAGAATGACAAACGCAGCGAATCAATATCAAATGTTTTAAGCCATGTTCTTTCTTGAGTATTTCGACGAGACCATTATTTACTCCCACCATCACAGAAGCATTATCTGTACCAATTCCTATCATATTCGCTATTGGGATTTTAAGATCTTTCAAGGAATTCACAAGAACAGCAGTCAGATTTTTCGCATCAGCAGATTCTACTAAAGCGAGCTTTAGAAATGCTGATATAATGGCTTGGTTTTTTACACTATAATACCGTATAACGATTCCCAGTGTTTTTGAAACTGAAACATCTGTGGATTCATCAATATGTACACTATATTTTCGGTCACCTATATCTTCAACCAATGATTGTGTAAAATATGGAGCCAATACCTCAGTTATTATGTTAGTACACTTTGTACGATGTAATTGCATATTTTGCGCGCCCTCATCACTGGCAAACACCTTTTTACACAGTTCGCCTAAATGATCAACAGCTAAAATTGAAGAATGTTCTGCAATAAATAAAGAAAGGACACCTTCCGCTTTGCTTGATATTCTAACTAAAGTTTTCGGGGCAATTTTAAAGGGTAAGGTGGCCTGTGTTTTTTTAAAATCCAATTTTTGTATATGCTTATTAGTTTTCGCATGTTTTCTAATATCGCTCAATTTAGCATAAAACTCTGTAACACATATTTGACATCTTGCTTTAGATGAGTCTCCTAAAACTGGTTTCAGCCATCCCTTAAATTCAGATTCTGCTTCCCACGTATCTCGATATTTTTGAACGTATTGCTTTTTTTTATTAGGTAAATCCATGATTTAAGCTATCACAAGTATCACACCACAAGTTTAAGCACTTTATAATTACTTAAAGTTAATTCAAAAGAGAGCGAGCCGGATGTTATGAAACAATCAACTGAGTCGATCGATGTAAAATGTCAAACCGATTGTGCAGTATACAAAACATAATGTCCGGGGATTCCCCCGTGTGCCCGTGACCGACCGCCAACCAATGAAAGAATCGAGCTATTGAGCAGTGTTGCCAACTCGGCTACATGCGATATTAAATAATATTTATGAATTAAAATCAGATATAGGTACTAATAGGTTAATGTAAAACTTAGATTTGAAAGAAAATTTAAATGTTTTGATTTGAATATGTTTTTTAAAGAGACTTTAATTTAATAAAGTTTGGTGCGTTTGTTTTCCTTATTGTATCTCTTGGCACTGTATCGAGTTGACTAAAAATTTATCCAATAATGACTCTAGAACTGATTTAATTTATACCTACTACAAAAGTCGCTAGATAAGTCGCTAAACTATTTTTGTCGTCAAAACTTTTTTTTAGTCGCTAAGACTTAAGCAAAAGTCGTCATTTCTAGGGACAAAGTCGCTAAATTGGCAACACTAAGTATGGATCAACTCAATTAGTTTTTTTTTGGAGTTTATGGCCTGGTATCTAGACCTTTAGGCCAAACTCAATTAGTTTTTTTTTTGGAGTTTATGGCCTGGTATCTAGACCTTTAGGCCAAGTCTTAAGTATTTTTATTCGGTTTATTGTAATTTCCCCACTCCTTCATAGTATACTGCTTCACAATATGTTGATGCGTCACATTGTGCAGTTCTTGGGAGATTTTGGCGGCAACTTGATCCAGCAGACAGCTGATAGTTGGCGATGGTATCTAAAGGTGCCTATGCAAACAAACAGCTTATCTTGGGAATCCATCACCATCAGAGCACTTGTTTCACTGTTTCCACTAATAGTTCACATGCGTAGACACTTAATACACAAAATCGCAACACTTTTACATATCAAAGTCCACTTCAAACCCTTATTTAAACAATAATACAGGAGCAGAAAACCGCCGCCGGTCAATTTCCCGCCAAAACTCCACTCAATTAGTTTGTTTGTGGCAGTGTGACCATCTCAAAAATGGCAAATCTGCCACACACTGGAAAAAATCTGCCAAAACGACTCCAGAAAATGGCAGAAATACTTGCAAAAATAAATGGTATGAATAAATAAAATACTATATATTCAAAGGAACTTCTTTATTCTACAATATTCCACATTTTTTTTTCTTTTAAGTGCAACACTATTACTCTTACTATACTATACGATACCTACTATTATTCAACATTTGCTTCATACTCTTTTTTTTGTTAATTTTCATTATACACTGATTTCTTTCGACATTTTTTAATCAGTTTTAGTTGGTTTAAAGGAGATACAGTCTCCGTGTTCTTTTATACCTTCTTTTGTTATGATTAAAGTGGATGCATGTTTGTTTAGGAACCTGTTCCTTATTTTTGTTTTATTTAAGTTTACTTCGGAGAATACTCTCTCGCTTGCTATATTTGAATATTTTGGAGCTCCATTTGCATCACGCTTTTTCCTAATAGCTCCCCAGAATCTCCTACATATGGATATTTATCGGTTTTCCGATATATCGTTCCATCCTAAGCGTGGAGCTTTGAATCTACTAGTTAGTCTGTGGTGTTGTATGTAATAATATCCGAACCCAGGCTCAGAAGGGTTAGAACCCACAGTCGTAAAGCCAGTTATAAAAAATATATAAACCAAAGAACATATAGGAATGGACAAGGGAAGAAATATATCGATATATATCGAATCGATATTTTTAAGAGTCGCTTTATATCGCGTGATAAATTTCGATATATCGTCATCATTTGCATGATGTAAAGATAAGGTCCAAAATTTTATATTACCGGAAAAAAAACGACCACACACCACACATGAATACATTTGTCCCTCCTAATATATTTTAAAATATATATTGATATATAGCGATTTAAAATCTTGACGATATATATCGTCAATATTTGAAATTATTAAAAAATATATATTTGTATATACAATATTAAAAAATATCGATATTTTTTGCCCAAGCCTAAGAATATAATCAATCACTACGCGATGCATGTAAAGTGTAAACTAGCTGTTTAACTTTTACCAGACAATAAATAATAGTACTACGTACTTTTGCTTTTACTTGACCGTTGATTCGATTATCTTTGTAAATTTGTGTTATATTCATTCGCTATTAGTAATAGATGGTAATTTTCGTAAAATAATTCCTTGATAATTACCATTGAATAAAGTAATTTAATGGCTACTCTTGAAGATAAAATACTTGGAGAGAAGCTTCACAATTATTGTAGTAGCAGCGAAGATGAAGGTTCCGATGATGAAGAAAGAAGTGGTGATGAAGAAGGAGAAACATCTTTGAAATCACCAGTTGTGTCATCTGAAGCTCCACCTATCAACAATTGGAATGGGTCAGCAAGCAACACGGGACCGAAAGGTGTTTTAGAAGATTGGAGAAGATTCAAACAATTGGAAGCAGAAAACCGAAAAGAATTGGAAAAGGAGCGCATAGCTCTAGCAAAGAAATTTACATTATCAGTCAAAACAGAGAGAGAAGAACAACAAGCAAAGGAAAAAGAAGAATTGGAAGATGAACTGAATGAGCTTATAGATGAAGAATTTCTAATGAAATATCAACAACAAAGAATACAGGAATTAATGTCTCAGTTAAAAAAAGCACCTAAATTTGGGAAGGTAATTACATTAAATAATCAAGAAGAATTTTTAAATGCTATTGATAAAGAAGATATAAATGTTACAGTCATCATACATATTTATAATCGTAAGGTAAAGCCATGCACAGCTATGGATGGGTGCCTTAACGTTTTAGCAGCAGACTATCCTATAATAAAATTTTGCCGAATAGATGCAGATGTTGCTGGGCTTAGCCAACATTTTAGGGTTGATGGTGTGCCAGCACTCTTAGTTTACAAAGGAGGACAAATTATTGGAAATTTTGTTCAACTGGCAACAGAGCTCGGTAATGATTTCTTTGCTGTTGATGTCCAAAGATTTCTTATAGAATATGGTATGCTTCCTGAGAATTAACTATAAAAGCATATTATAGTTAAATTAATGCATGATTTTTGTGTGAAATGAATGTTGTACCCAGTTTTAATTCTCAGTATTGTTATTTAAGTGTCTTAAGTTTAAGAATTGCACCATGAGGCAATAATGAATAAATATCATTTATCAAGTTCGGTTTTCCTGATATCATACTGTACTAACTTTCCAAGCAACAAAAAATATGTGATGGTGAAAAAATATGCATGTAATAACAAAAAACTTTGTCATGGTTAAGTGGCAGTTTACTTTCTTAGTTTCTTAAAAAAAATTCAATGTGAATTAATTTGTTTTTATTAACATGAAATTAGATTTATTGTCAGGTAATGTACTTTTACTTTTCACTAGCATATTTATATATGAAGTTTATTGTTGCAACTTTTATTTGATATTTATTGTGTCACACACAGATATAAAGTTAATTTGCAAAATTCAGATTGAGAAACATTACAAATCTATTGCAATATGTAGTTTCGACTTTGATCTATATAATATCTATTCCTCTCGCTTCCGTGACATAATTGATTCAGACTGATCTTATCATTTTAAACAAATTTAAAGTTGAATTAAAAGGATTGATATTATATTTAGAATACATTTAACTCTCTCTCTGTACCATGAATCATATATGAACATTTCAAATGTTTAATTATTGTCTGTTACACGGACAGGGAAACTGTTAAGCTATACATTTCTTGAGTGATATGAGTGTTACTTTGAAGATAACAGTTATATTTCTTAACCAATGTCTTTAGCAATTATAAACTTATAGATTTTTGTTATAGAACGGTGACAAACAAGCACACAGTCCACCTAATGGTAAGTGAATTCTGTAGCCCATAGATATCTCCATTTATCCTCAATTAAGAATGACAGTCAGATGTTGTAAAATAGAAGCATTATGTTGCTATTTTACGCTGGTATTCTATGAGAGTGTGGTCCTACCCTGACCAAACTAAGCCATTCGTGTTTCAACCATAACATAGCTGCAGCATGGCTCTACCAGGTAAAAAAAGATTGTTATAATTTAAAAGATTTCATAGCATTAGCAACTGAAGTTTTTATTATTTTAAGCTGTTATCAGGAAATGCTGCTATCATCTCTAATTTTCGTTTCCATCTGTCGCCTATTACAACACCCACAGGGTAAGATAGGGTTAAGGATTTTCTAGCTGGGCCACTATGTTTTCTCGTTAATATAAAACTTTTATATTCATACATGTATGTATGGGATTTTCTATATTATTTAATTACATTTTTTTGTCAGTCATATGAAAAACATACTTAACTAATGCTGTTTTATTATGGATTAAAGTAGTAAAATTATTATTTAAGTTACTTAATTAAGATTGTCAGCAATCAGAATTAATCTTTGATGTCATTGTTAGGCTGGCTTTTCACTATGGGATATAATATATATTATATCCCGAAATATAAATTATATCCCACGATTGACGTTCACACTGTGAGATATATCTTTTAACCAGTGTGCGTTCGTCATTGGTCATTGAATTACCCCCATTTACCCTGCACACCTTTTGCGGGGGCGTGGAAGGGTGTGCGGGGTACAGGGGGCAAAATATAATATGAAAATATTGCTCGGTCGATCGAAAAATATTTATAGCTTGAGATGTAATATATATTATAGCTCAGTGTAAACGGTTCCATAGGAAATGTATGGTGAGCGATATTAATTTATATCTCGAGATGTAATATATATTATATTATATCCCATAGTGAAAAGCGGGCTTTACTGTATATATTTTTATAAAATCTCAACATGTTTGTTTTTTAAATTAACAGATTTTAGTTTTTATAATTTTTTTTAGTGTAATAGCAAAATAGTTTGTTGATATTGATGTTAATAATGATTTATTTAATATATTATGTTCTCATATGAAATTCTTTGGTTTTACCCCATTTGATAAAAAAAAATCAAATTTCTTTAAATATTTATTTATGAGAAAATTATCTCTAAGACACAGTAAAGTCTTACAAAAATCTTGTTTTTTTAAACAATACACAATTATAATACTTAAAAAATAACAGATAAATAATGACATTGTTTTCTATCAATTTTACAATGCAATTCATAGTAAACTACAAAAAAGGATTTTATATTTAAAAAACAAAACTTCAAATTTTTTTCCATTTTAAAATGTTAACTATTGTGGGTTGAATTTACACTTGCTTGTGATATGAACGTCTTTAAATAAATTATTAAAATGAGTGTAGACATAATATGATCCACCAAAAAAATTAACAGGTTCTCCACTGTTTGTGTCAGTTTATATTTGGAATAAAAAAATAAACTTCTAATTTTTCATAGAATCCATTGAATTGAATTGGGTAGCATGGAGCCTTTAAGTTTTAAAACATTCAAGAGCTATGAAACCTACAACGTGATTTATTTGTTGCATTTACTAATTCGGAAATTCATGTGGGGCACTTCAATCGGTTTTTCTTTACAAATATATCAGAATACATTAAGCTATTTTTACAATACGTTTTAAATATAGTGTTCGTTTTCAGGTTTTAGCACATTTATTTTTAACACATTTTCATCTTCCTAGATACTACTAATAACTCACATTGTGAGTCTTGTTTATGAGTTGGGTAAACAAATGTAGTTTCACATAAATAATAACTATATTTAATGTAACAACATTATTATCATATAACATTGTCATGTGATAGCAGCATTAGAGAAGCTATCACTCCGTTTTGTCCTGTGGGTGTCGTATTAGGCGATTATGTGAAATGCCAGCAAGATCTCATTGTTCCTATAAATGGCGGTATAACCAACCCTTTTACGCCAGACGTAAAATACCGCAGTGGCAGCGAGCATTGTAAAATAGGAGATGTCTGGTGAAGCATTCACTAATATGCCTGTGTAGTGTGGAAAATAAAGCAAAGCCTCCTAGCAACATATACCTTATCAACATGTGTTAAAAGTTATAATTATTTAAAACTTGCACTGCACAGTAAGACGCGTAATTAAGTAAAGTTTTGTTTGTTAATATGAATTCTGAAGACCTACATTGTATATGGAAAATGTTTTTGAGATATTGGGACTCAGTTTTTTTTCCATTTATGAGGCCAAAGGAAAACCGTAGGGTTAGTAGAAGAATACATATGAAACATTTTAAATTGTGCATATCTTCCCACGCCACCCTACACATTAATTAACAAACTCCAGAGTATAAGATGAGTATGTCAAAATAACAGTTAGAATCCGCAATTTTACAACAATACTCGTGATTTTATGTTGATATTATATACTTTATACAACAAACAAACTCACGTCATGGGTTCACTCTTAGCGCATGCATAATGCCAATGAAAAGTGTGGAAGGACTCGGTTGTGTTGACAGGCTCTGAACTTGTATTACACTGTTTTTATATAAAAAAAAATGAAACTGTATTAGGAAATGTTACTTTAATATTAAGATGAACTACTAACAAAGTTCTACGATTTCGTCTGATATTTCGGTGCGCCGACGCTTCGGTGGTTTCACAATGGGCTCGCCACCATCGTCTTCCTCAACGATTTCCATGTCACTGTCACTGTCATCACGGGATCGAGACGGACCAGGTTTCGGTTCATCAGAACCGTTCGCACCGTTGGCTGGTTTGTCATCTTTAGGCGCTGGCATCGGCGTGTCCGGGTCTGTGATCAAACGCCAAGACTTTTCGTCGTCTTCTTGCTGCAGTCTGACTCTCACTTCGTAGTTTTGGAGAAAATCGTCGACTAGTAAAGCGCAGCCGTCGTTCAGTCCTATTTCTTCCAGCGTTTTGTGATTGTTGTGATCGGTTTCACCGGGCTCTGAGGACAGAACGACGAGACCTTTTCCTTCAACCGTTGCATCTGGTGCCTGCATGTTGAGACCGTCCTTGAAAGCTGTTGTCAGATCCTTGAGCGTCAGTTGCTTGATGTTGCAAGCGAGCGCAACTTCCGGTTTAGGGGCGCAGACGTAACATTTTGGATTTGGTGCTGTTAATGCTGTAAATACGTTTTTTATTACATAGTTTATAAAGACAACATAACTATATGTTTAAATTCATATCATTGAAAAGATTAAACTTACTTTTTTCTGGTACAAACAACTGGCCCCTATGGTTTACCTTAGGTCTCAGATACACACTGGTGCATGATTCTATTTCCCCTGTTAGTATGGATTGGGCGCGTAAAACTGCAAGTCCTGCGACAATTGCATTAGCCGTTGCTATTGCCGGAATTATGTTGCCCGCCATCGCTAAAAATAAAAAAGCATAATAAAACGCTAGTGTTGAAGTCCCAAACGATAATTACAATTCTTTTTTGAAAATACGTTACCCCCACACAACGATTTTCTCCTTTATCGAGGGGACGGTTTACATACATAAATTTAACAAGGACAAACATCCAGACCCGGAACAATTATTTGCAGGCCATACGAATATTTGTACGGGATTTGAACCCGCGGCTCTTAGCGCTGCAACCCACTGTGCTACGAAGCCGTCAATGAGTGTGAAGTGCGCTTATTAAGTGGCGAAGCTTGCGAAGTCACTTATTGATTTCACGATGTCTGTCCGTCTGTCCCACGATTATCTCGAGAACGGTTTCGAATTTTCAAATTCTGTTTTCAGCAATCGATTACTGATCACCCAGGCATCTGAACCTCCTATTTTGAAACTGATTGCTCAACGGCAACCGTTAGAAACCGCTACAAAGCTGATTGCTTCGCCACTTTGCTATGCTGTTAGCTTGCTAGGTTTATTATAGATATATTTTATTATTGTAAGAAAAGTCTCCTTTGGATCGTATTATTTCGATTGGGTTCGTACTTTGTAACACTTGTACTACTGAGTTTACGGTAGGAACAGAGTTATGAATTGTAAGCCGCCACCATATTATGGATGAAAATGAATATACTCATACCTAAAAAATTAAAATATAGTCGACTCTCGATAATTTGAAACTCAAGTGACCAGAGCAAAATTTCAAATTATACAGAGTTTAAAATAACAGGAGTTTAGATAACCAAGAGGGAGGGAGGAAAAAAATCAAGTAAACAAGAGTTTGATCATAATTCGTGATTTATTATTTTAAACATTTGTACAATTATTCACAAATATTCATTTTGAAAAGAAGCCCGTAATTTTCTATTGAGTGTTGACAGGTCTGTACATGTATGTAAACAAACGGCAGATCTGTGCATGATAAACGCTTAAAATTATGTATAGTAGCGAAGCCCAGACTTTATGTTGACTTTATTCAATTTATCGCGTATTTTTCAAGGACCGAGAAATAATTCAAATTAACGGAGTGTCAAATTATCTAGAGTCAACTGTATTACTTTGTAAAAAGTATATAATATAATCAACGTTGAAAAACACATGCTTAAGAAAATACTGCTATTGTAAAAGCAAAATAACTGTAATCAAAGAATTATAACTAACGTCCATTTTAATGGCTGACTTGTGTTTGTTTGACAAGAAAGAATTTACTATTGTAGTTAAATTTATATTTGCGACTATAAAATTCGCGGGAGCATAGCGTGAGTTTTATTTATCCATCTGTTCATCTATTTTCGGATGCTCCAGAAAGTTTTAGTGGTGTTTTCTGTAAGAGCAGGTTTATAAAACATTTTGTATCTTCTATGGAAGGTTATTGGAACTCTGAGCACTTGCTCTTAATTTTAAATTAGATTTTTTTTTAAACTTAAGTGATAAATGAACTTCCAGGCCACCTGATGGTAAATGGCTATAGGAACTCCATGGATACCTGCAGTCAAGTTTAAACACAGAAGGCACAATAACAGATGCGTTGTCACTTCTGGAACCCTTTACCGCATACTGTGATGACCTGTGAACCTAATGTCATCTTTGGCGAAAGTTTTGAACTAATAAATAAACCATTACTGTTGCAGCCTACTAAAGTCAACTGCTGAACATAGGCCTCCCTTATAGATTGCTTCATAATCGCCACGCTTGGCAAGCGGGTTGGCAACCGTAGTTTTTTTTATTTTTAGTCGTTATAAGGAATCATATCGTGATTTATTTCCCTCTGTAGCCTCTTATGAAACCCACGGGATGATATAGGGTAGTAGATATTCTTACTACGCAGTAAACTACAACGGTAATAACTAAAACGTAGTAATTACATACTCTTTGGTAATAACCTTATTTACAGTGTTAGTTACAAAATAATAAAGAGATGTCGCTAGTGTAGGGTTGCATAATGACATCAACCCGTTAGTAAAACTGTTGCCACTGCCATTTTGACTGAGCGGGTGTTTGCAGTTAACTAAAAAAGGTTTTTCTTAATTTTTTTGTTGATAATGCAGAAAGATGTACCACCAGCGTTTTTATGTTAACGCAAGTAAGTATTGAGGCTATCATTATCTCATTATTATCAATTGAAATAGTGTTTGGAATTTGGATCTTCATGCAGTCTGGTCATATGTGAAACTGGATGCAGTATACCATTACTCTTCATTTTATTACAGATAATATCGTTACTCGGGCTTGACATATAGACATCATCCCAGATTACATTACACCATTAGAACGAGTGTACATCCCAGAAATCGCCGACTGTAGTGATAATGTCATGTCAAATGACAAGAATATGAAATGGTATAGGAAGATTTATTGAGGATGAAGGTAAAGAATACGATGACTCGCGTACTGCTTTTTAGGTGCAAATTATACAGAAGCGGCATAAGGCGGAGGCACAGCACAGGCGTGGCGAAGGTGTGGAACGGATAAGGCACGGTCGCTACGCAGGACTGGTAGTGGCGCGCAGCGGACAACGAAGCGGTATTCCTGTACCACGCCGCTTGAGTATAATAATTCAAAACACGCCGCTTTCATACATTTTATATGAAAACGTTTTGAAACGGTATCAAGCCTGCGCCACGCCTGTGCCGTGCTTTCGCTTTATGCCGCTTCTGTATAATTTGCGCATTAGGATGTGAAGATCTTTCAGACAAAATATTGCAGCTAGAAACATCAATGAGTTTTTCCAAATATCTCTTTACCTTCATCAGCCAATAATTTGATAAAAAAGGAAAGCAACATATACACAGCTCAAATTTTGCTGGAAGGTTTAAATGAAATAACACATGCACATTGATTTATACGTCAGTAGATCACTTGCCAAACCTATGGCTTCCATGATGACATGCAACAGATTCGAAGAGATAAAAGGTTCTTACATTTTTACCATTACATCTTACATTTTTACAATTTTTTTGCCTGTTGACCAAAACAAAAAAGAAAGATTGCTAAATGTACCAAAAAAAAAGATAATTTTTAGCTATTGATGGGGAATCATAAAAAACCACATAAATGGGGTTATTTAAATTACGTGTTGAGAGAAAGTAGTAGGTTCGGTTATTATTTTGAAATGAGGAAAACATTCAGAAGCGCCTGAACATTGCTCTGATTTAGGGTTCCCAGGTAATATCTTCGAATATTATTGCAGATAGCCCCAAATAACTTGCACTACAAAATCTTTGTACATAATTGGTACACAAGTTTGCGATTAATGACCAACTTGCACCAAAAAGATTTTCTTCCTTTAGGAACTCTACAATTGAATAGGGCGAGAGATCTCAATTTGGAAAAAAAGGCTCTACTAAAAGAAAAGAAGAATGTAATTACTGCGTGGAAAAATCTATCAAATTGTTGTACTACTATGTTATTATCAACCCAAGTAGTAACTGATAATTTAACATCCTCAACATATATAATTATTGAAGATGTTAAATTATATATATTAATTTGAGAGAAGCGGTGTAGATTCGCTAGACTCGATGTTAGGATTTTACAGAATAAAGATACGAAGCAAAAAATGGTAACACAGGTCATTTTTTTTTCATTTATTTGATCTTGTTTGTATATCAATAGTTGGCTATTATGTATGCAGTTTTTACACCTAGTACATGCAAATCGTGCGGTGGCCGTTTAAGAATATCCACTACCCTACTATCATCCCCTGGGTTTCGTAAGAGGCGACAGAGAAAAACAAATCAGGAGATGGACAGCAGTGTCTTCCTAATAAGGATGAAGCATTGTCTGCCAAGCTTGGCAATTATGGCAAATATCTCCCCTCTGAGGCGATCTATGGGGGAGACCTATGTTCAGCAGTGGACTTTAAATAGTCTGGAACGGTAACAGTTATACCCATTAATTCAAGATAATATTGAGAATATTACAAAAAATAAAAGTTGACGAAGGTACGAGCTGTCTCAAGTTGAAGTAGCTGAAGATGGGATCAGTCATAAGCCCGAGTGGAAGCAAAATCGTTAAACATGTAAAATGGAAGCACTTCTGTTCACGACAGAAATCACAATTGATGAGCACAAAGCGCACTTTATTTGTGCTTGAACAAGGACCGCAACACACGATTTCATACATAAGTAACAATGAAACCACTTTGTCAATTGTATTATTTAATAAAGAAACTAATAAATTATTCTTAATTCTCCTAACACATTTCTGAATGATGTACCGAATTTGGAACTTAATGAATGAATGTACGTTGTTTCAAATTTGGAACAAATAGTTTTTATAAATAATCTTATCCAAAATTAATTGATTTTCTTTAAATATTTTTTTAGGACTTATTTTGACTAATAATTTTTTTCGAGTGATTTATAAAACCCATGCGGTAAGGGGTTAAGAGGTGATGCCTCACAACTTGTAATTTTACTGGCTCTCTATTCCCTTCACCGAAACACAGGAGTGCAAGTATTACTACTTGGTGGTGTAAATAGGTAAGTGGGTGATGATACCTACCCAGACAGACTCATAGACAGAAAAATAATCCTACCATATAGATATACACGATTAACGGTTTTGAAATAACTAGCCAAATTTTGAGAGGTTTAGAATAATTAATTAATATAGGCAAATAGTGAAGAAAAAATATCTCAAACATTCTGTCCTTTTTATCTTTCAAATTCAAAATGCGTGGTAATTTATTATTTTAACACATTCTTTAGGGTCGATCAGTAGACAAAAACGTTTTTTAACATTAAAATTGGGTTATTTAAAATTAAAGTAGAAGCCTTAATTACTCGTATTTTCAAAACGCTGTATAATTTACAATTTTTGTGAGTTGTGTCTTACCCACAAAAACTTTTGAGATATTGAAGTTTGGATTGGTATTGAGTGAAAATCGCTTGCTTCAAATTGTTTGTGATTTTGCTTGCTTTTTTACTATATGAAAGTATACACCTTAAGAATTGTTTTGGAATCATCATTACAGTTTATCAGTCCCCTGTTGAACCTAGACCTACTACATCTTTGTTAGAGGGGTCTCTTATGGGGCGATTAGTCATAGTTATCACTCTTGGCAGACAACTCGGCAATCACAGTTTTTTTTTTGAGTTGTTATCAGGAAGATGCTGCTGACTATTTAATATTTCAGTTTCCCTCAGTCATCTCTTACACCCACAAAAGGAGTAGATTCGTTTTTACACTGCCACTACATGGTACAAACATAAGAACGTAGCCACATAAACAAGAAAAAGAAATATTATTTTCGATTGCTTGGTGTTCAATTGAACTGCAATGTTTAAATGTCATCCAAAGCACGAAATTGATTGACCTCAGATTTTTCACAACACATTGTGATCATGATGACACTTATTGAAAAGATATCTTTTACTTACATTTGATTTCAAATCTCGATTTTAAGGGTATATTGAAGATGTGAGCGCGAATGTTTGCACATGCTGTTACGAAATCCATGGCGCTCTTATCATCTTTGTCCCAAACAAGGTGGTCGCCTACTGGACGTCCTTTCAGTTCTGCTTGCAAAGCATTACAACTTGCTGCAAAAACCTGTAGAGAAATTGGACTACAATAGCTGTAACTCTTAAAAAAGAATAAAAAAGTTAAGAAAATAATTTTTGATTTTGACATTTCGCATTCTTGTCCTTTTGTCTTCTTCTTCTTGTCCTTGTCAACAGATTTCAAAAAAGGAAGAAGTTCTTAATTCAAAAGATATCACATAATGTAAGTGGACGTAAACATAGACATGTTGAAGGAAGGACAGACCAGTCCATCCTTAACCTGCATGTGCATAGTCATTGACAACCATCCGCACTTCTACAGGTGCCTCTGTTGTTCCTACAGCGATAATACCAACATGGATTGACTCATCGACACAATATAAAGAAAAGCCACTGTGGGTCAACAGTATTAAAATTATTGTTAGCATTAATAATGATACTAATTACCTGAGCACATTCATGTACAGACCAAACTCTCTGATCTGCCAACCCTGAATGTTGTGTTGGTGGGTCATCCTTTCCTGGTAAATTATCCCATGTTAATGGAGTAGGTGGCCTGCGTTTCTTCCACAAATTTTCCATTGATAATAAATAGCGAATATCATCTCCAAATAACTTGGAGAACAGCTTTTCTGGATCATAATTTGTTTCTGCAGCCCATGTACGGGTGCTTTTTCTTTCTATGTTACCAGCTGCATTTCCTTCTGAAGACAGTGCAGAGGCACCAGCATCTCCAGCAGCTTCTGGATCTGCAGTGTCTGGACTGACGTCTTGGTCTGGGTCTTCTTCACCAAAAAGCTGATTAAAGAGATGCTTAGCCCATACTATGCAATGTATCGGTTCAGAGGGAGTGTTACGTATTGTGCACCCTGGGAAGGTTTTCTGTGGTGCTTTTGGTTGACATTCATAGCATTGGGTCAGACCTTTTTTGATCAGTTCTACCTGAAATTTCACAAGAATAATTTAATATCAAAGCCACATTTTTTATTGTGCACAAACAGTTATTTATCATCTATCTACATTAAATAACAATAATCTAGTCTATGGAAGCGGGAACCCCCTTAATCAGAAAAAAATAGGGGACTGATTCAGAGGGATTTTTGTATCTATTTTGAGACTGCAACGTCTCTGGCACTACGGGAAGAGCAGCCTCTACGCCTTTGCGTAACAAATCGCAGAGACTGCTCCCCCTACCCGCCTCCGGCTCTATAAAACACTCTAGGGGTTGGACAGACACGTACCAGGTGGAGTCGGGGTCAATCAATTCAGTTCTTTGACATAAGTTGAACCTAACCTATTTTATTTGTTATCTGTCCTAATAGGTACTGTTAAAATAAAACAAATTTCAATAAGAGATCATTTATTATGGTATCTTCCTTTCTTTTTCATAAAATGTATTTATATTTACATTATAATCTTCTTTTTTGAAAAGAATTGACATCCCTACTGACGATGACAATGACAATACAAAATAGCGTCAGATCAAATTTACAGTAGGAATTGACATAAATATTGCAAAAATAATTGATTTTTAATAATTTTTTTCTCAAAAAGTACACATCTCCAAATGTCGACACTTTGTGTGTGTACTTATAATAATGTAAACTTTCTGTAAAAAAATATCAACCCCCAACTTGAGGGACGTCAATGGAAAGCTACGTTTTCACTATCTCATCTGAGAGGCTGTCAAGAGTGGTAATGGTGACACATATCTCCTCTATTACACAATCTACAGGGAAGCCAAGTTCAGCAATGGACTTTTAATAGGCTGCAATGAATGTATAAATGAATATAAATTTATATTTTAATTAGTATTAAAATAGTTTTCTATACCTGTCCTGCATATCCAGCAGTTCCCGTCTCAATTAATGGTACATTGGCCGCAAGACACATTCTATTGACATGATTGCGAGCTACCCGATTGTCTAATGCATTCATAACAATGTTAAATTGCTTAAAGTAACTTACACCATAATCATTGCTGAAAATAAAACAATCAAGTACAAAGAATTAATATTATTTATTACCAAACCATTTATGTTTTACTAATGTCAATATATAATTTGAAATCTGAACAAGATAAGGTCTGCTTTTCCTCAAATTAACAAATCATAAAGTACCTTACCTTAAGACAGGTATCAAAACTTTGTGAAATAAAGTTTATATTGGTGAAGGTAATATCTGATATTTTAAAAGAAATATGTACGTGAATAAACATAAAAACAAATAAACAAGTTTATTTTAGTGACATACTAACCTAATAACGCTGTCATGATGTGCTACAATATTAACATGGGGGTTGAAACTCAAAGCGCTATCCTTAGCCACTTGTGCTTTCGACTTCCCAACATGCTCTTTGTGGAATAAAAACTGACGGTTTAAATTGCTTACGTCGATGGTATCAAGGTCGATCTGAAAAATGAAGGAATATTTAGCCGAATTATGATATATAATATATTATAATTGATTGTTCTCAAACACTTACAATCTCAATTTGCGGGAAGCCGGTTAAAACGAGATTCTTTAGAATTTCACAACCTATACCACCGGCACCTACTACTAAAATCTTAGAATTAGCGATCGCTTCCGTTAGCTTTTCATCAAATACACCTGCAACGCGTGCTACCATTTTAACTTTATCAAATGAGACTTGGCGTTATGGCAAACTAAATAGATATTATTAATCTTTTTCAGACAAATGCTGATTCTTCATCAAAACACACGAAGAAAATGTCAAACTCAAACTTGGCGTCTTTTTTGCTTTTTACTGTTGTTACGATTCGTAAATTAACGCAAGCAAAGGTGTCAGACCATACAGCCTAATCTAATTTATATTTTGTTTAAGCTTAGACCGTTCAACCAAAGGACATGTAATGCGCCTAATGCAATGAACAAAAAAGTTGTAAGTTGCGTGTTTACCGCTTAAAAATCCCTTTGTCGTATCTCCTCAGTTTCAAGACTTCCCTTGTTGCCTCAGCCAATATTGGAATCCTCGGCGTCAACATATCGAATGGCGTGCAGTTTCGTGGTCACTGGCAAGAAAAGACCACTAAAAAGCTTGGCGTGCTCAGGAGAGTGGTATAGTATTTCATGCCGGCACACCGCCTGCAACTTTACAAGAAACAGGTTCGGCCTCATATGGAATATTGTTTATTTATTTATTTATTTATTCTTTATTGCACATAAAAGGCGAGCTTAAAGCTATATGGCATTCTCTACCAGCTAACCTTGGGTAGAACAGAAAGTGAGTTTGGGCAGTTAAGTTGTCATGATATAATTCAGTTCTAATATATACATGCAACACATACATAAAATATACACATATATTATATATAAAATATATATAATTCATATACATATATAAATAAATACACACATTAATATATATATATCTCAATAAATGTATATATAAATAACTATAAACATATAAAGTAAGTTGATTCAACTTTGTAGGCTACGGATATGCTCATATAGTTTTCTTTTAAAAACTTTTTTGACAGGTATTATTCGCAGGTCAACAGGCAATTTGTTCCATAGGGTAATGGAAGTAACTGTGAAAGAATTTGACATAGACCCAGAATGGTGGAGAGGAGTAGACAGGATTAAACTGTGTGAAGAACGGAGATTGAGAGAATGAGTGTCACTACAGAATTGTACAATGTTCCCATCAATGAGCTGGGGTTCCCCGGTACCAGCTCCTTCCTACTTGACCACATCCAGCGCAAAGCTGATCGAATCGTCGAAGACCGAGTCCTCTCTGATCGGCTCGATTCACTGGCGCTGCGAAGAGATGTTGCATCCCTTTGCATTTTCTATCGCATCTACCACGGAGAGTGCTCCGAGGAAGTGTTCGGATTAATCCCAAACGCCAAATTTCACGAACGCACATCGCAGCAAAACTCCCGATACTATTAACACCATCGGGATGCTTGGCGGTCCACCACTACGTTTTACTAGAAGTTTTCTACCTCTTAGGACCTCTCTGTGGAATAGTTTACCACCGGCAATTTTTCCGGACTGACATAGGGATCTTTAAGAAAAGAACATACTCCTTTCTAAAAGGCCGGCAACGCACCTCCAATTCCGCTGGTGTTGTAGTTAATGGGCGGCGGAAGTGACTTACCATCAGATAAGCCGTTTGCTCGTTTGCCTCCCCTTCTAAAAAAAAAATTATCAAGGAGTATATGTATAACCACTACATTTGTGGTGATTATCATAGACATAATATACTAGCGTAGTGATTATATAGATATCATAGATATTTATACGATCACCTACTCTTTGGATGTTGCTGTCATGTTGTCATACCTAATATTTAATTTTATGCTTAGTTTAGCATAATTCTTACATTTTACTATTAATTTATTTTATACATGTATGTAGTATTTCTATTTAATAATTAACTTTTTTTTTAATTTGAATATCAAAATTAAAACGTTGAACTATGCGACCTAAAAAAGGTAATATTTACAAATTATGTAGCTTTATTATGATTGACACATTGATTATTTAACACCGCTTGTTAATGTATAATCAAAGACATTTAAGTAGTAATAGTAATAGACCGGACATCAGTAGCAAAATTGTCGTCTGTAACTTATGTCCTATAGGATATATCTCCTCTTTATTATTTCTAGTAGATTGTTTTAAAACATTTATTTTTATTATAATAAGCGCCCTCTGTTATCCAGTAAACGTCACTATTTAGTTACCAATTTTATTTATAAAACAATCATGTATATTTCCTATTATTATATCGAAAAGCATTTCAAACTTAGTAATCTTCAACAACATTATCGATACTTTGATATCGAAACGGTAACATTTCTAAAATTAGGTTATATGTATTAGCGTCACCTACTGGGGAATAGCTAAAATGTTGTCTTAATAAATGCTTAGCGTTGTTTTGCTATTTTTAGCTAGAGAGTGCAACGCGCGCACTAGCTCAAAGTTTTTGTATATAAATGTTCCCAATGTCCGCTCTATAGTATACCTATATATTTAAATCTCTTTGTGTATAATGCAATGAAACTTTGGTTATGCTGTATTTTTTATTACTTAGTAAATGGCAAGATATTTAAACAAGTTTAATTAGTTTTCGTTTTAAAAAGTGAGGGTGGTCAACGAGTACTCGTACATCTGTTGTGTCCATTCTGTAAGTGGATACTGTGGTCCAGACACCTACATCTATCTATGTATGTGTTAAGAATAAAAATGCTGTGAACTAAGATGGAGTGCCTCGTTAACAATAATAAGGATCTCCGGTTCCCGTCGCCCACTATACGATAAAAAGAAATATTATTTTAGGTCTATTCCAACCATTCAAATATGAAATAAAAATTGTCTACTGACAAATAGGTAAAGGTCAAAAAGAAAAGGAGGCACCAAAAATTACGATGGGCCCTCCTCCAAAGCCGAAGAAAATACCACCTCCCCCGGCATGCTTTTCTCCAGATGACCTAGTGAGATTTAAGGAAATGTTTAAAGCACATGATGAGGAAAACATAGAAAAGGTGTGTGGAATGTAGATATTTTTTGTAATAGATGTTATCATAGCTTTGTTTACGATTTATCATCATCATCACCGTCATTGCAGCTATCCACTGCTGACTGAACATAGGCCTCCCCCAAGGAATACCACAAAGCACGATCCTGAGCCACCTGCATTCATCGACTTTCTGCATCCCTTACTAGGTCGTAATTCCATATAGTGGAGGGGCGGTTCTAAGCTTACCGGTGCGAGGCTGCCACTGGAGAAACTTTCTTCACTGTCAGTTGTAGGTTCTTTAAGCTATATGACCGGACCATTGGTTTACTGATCCGTTGCGATCAGTCAGTTACTCTGGTTCTACTGCAGATACCCTTATTACGAAGTCTATTACATACAGACACTCCAAGCACAGCCCTATTTATAACTCGCTGAGCAACCTTGAATTTGAATGAGCAGGGAAGGACCACGTTCAGATCCATATGTCATCACATGCACTGTTTGTATATTCTTGTTTTCAAGTTACACAAATTAATCTAAATTTTAAATTTTAAAATTAATTAAAGAAATCTTCCGAACGCTACCCAGCTGACGACATGGAACAGACGATTGACCTGTTCGAGGGTCGAATATGGACCTAGTCGAACAATTTGTCCTAGATAAACATACTCTTCAACGACATGGACATTACACATGACTTTTGTTTTGTTAATTTTAGCACCTACTCATGAGACACTATTGATGTGATAGATGAGGTCTCCCAGTGATTCTGCCATAATGACAACGTTGGTAAATCAAAAGTGTTTATGACTGGGTAAATATATATCGGTGCGTCTATAAAATACCGGATGGATCGAGAGTGAGCGAGAGGTTGCATCACTCTAGCGGAGTGTCATATTGACCGAGGCATGGTAGAATTGAGGGTATATCGTGAAACCCCCACTCTTTTGTGTAGTATATTTGTGTAGTATAAGGTTCCTTGTAGACGCCGTGCGCGAGAGATTTCGCCCAAGTAATTCGACGTTGTAGTAATTCTTCTAGTGCAGGTAAGGAAAATGGTGTTACTGAGAGACTTCTCTGTGTTACAATGAGATGGGTAGTGTTGCTGTTGGTGGATATATTACGGTATGGTTAAACTATAATTGCTCTACACCGAATGTATAGTGAAGTACTCTGTTTTCTTGCAGACAATGATTAATTGCGTAAGCAGAAGAGCAAGTTGAACATCCGCTCTCACACTATTATTATTTTTAACAATTAACCTTCTGATGTATTTCTGCTTTTGCTAAGATGATATTTAATTTTTCAACAGGTTAAATTACAAGACATTCCGTTGATGTTGAGAAAATTAGGTTTTAATCCAAAGGGTGAAGAAATTCGGCAACTTTTTCAGCAATTTTTAGAAGATGATCTCGTGGACACCGTAGAATATCACGAGTGGCTTTTCATGATCGAAGCTAAAATGGGATGGGGTGATGACTTTGAAATGGCTGTGACTAAAGCTTTCGCAGCTTTAGGACATGATGATGAAGAAACGGGAGTAGCCGATCTAGAATTACTCAAAGAGGAACTAATGCAATGGGGAGAGCCATTAACTGATATTGAATTTGTAGACTTTCTAAGATTGGCAACGAAAGATAAAACATACAATCCAGAAGATGGCAAATTTAATTATGTTAAATTCATTGAGAATATGAATAATAAAGATGAAAAATTCTTCAAAGAACCTATTAATTTCTTCAAATTAGATCAGAAGACTTTGGCCGAAATGGCTATGAAGAAAGTTCAAGAAGAAAAAGAGGAGCAAGCAAAAATGGAAAATGAAAGGCTGGCTAGAGAAGAAGCGAAAAGGCAGAAAATGATAAGTCAAGGCTTGATTCCGTCGTAATACATGTTTCCTTTTAAGTTTTCTAGAGTTTTATCTCATATCTTCATCTTCTTCTTCAACAGCCTCTCCCATTGTAGGGGGATATGTCATTATAAAAATGAAATAAATATTTTATAAGCAATGATATTACATTTTACGCAAGTTAACAACTAGATGGAGTAATGACCTGATGAAGCAATGCATGTCGATGGATGCAGGTGACGGGAACCATATTTTGTGACAATATGTGGGGAAGGCTTATGTTTAGCAGTGGTTTTTTGATGGATTGTGAATATGTAAATGCTATGACAATGGCTGATATTGATTAACAACGCTCGTAATTAAATTAGGCAGCCCAAAAAGTGAACACAATAATATACAACAAACGTGTGTAGAGTTTGATTATCACTCTAACCGTTCCATCAGATTTTAATGGATTAACGAATCCTCGCATAAACACTGAATCCTGGTAAGGATGATTATAGAGGTTAATAAAATTACAAAAATTGGTCAATCACAAGCTATATACACATATAATTGTTTGTGTTGTATAGCTTGAGTATTTGTCAGGTCATCAACCTTCCACTTGTGTCATCATTTCTCCACTTAATGAAGCAATTCTGATAATGATTTTTTTTCGCAATTGACTTGTATTTGTGCGATATTTAGTTCAAAGCATTTTAAAATGGACCATTATTTTCTCTTCTTGATTCTGAGTGCTCCATTGAGCTTTTCATCATTTGACGCCTTTATTTTTTATAGGATAAGGGTGACAAACGAGCACTCAAATGCTAAGTGGTTGCTGTGGCCCATAGACATCTTCATCAAACAAAATGCAGATTCGTTGTCACGCTTGAGGAGTAAGATGGAATGCTTCATTTCCAGTAAAAAGGATCTCTGGTTCTCTACACTCACCATACAAAACACAGCAGCTTTAAGTTGCTATTTTACGCTAGTATTCTGTGAGAGCGTGGTCCTTCCCCGGTCCAGCCGACCCATTCGTGCTACAACTATACTATTAATATAGCTGCAGCATGGCTCTACCACGTAAATGTCTATAATCCATAACCTATTGTATCCTTCCAAATTAAGCACAACAGACAAAATCCAACTTTTTAATAGATACTCTATATCACTCCGCTGGTGTAAGAGGCGAAAGAGGGAAATTAAAAAAGGAGATGGACAGCATCCTGACAAAAACTCAAAATAATATTAAACTTTGGTTGCGAACCCGTCTGCCCAGTGGAACGATAAATCTTCCTCAAAGGCAATCTTATGTTCAGCAACGGGCTTTTGATAGGCTTTTGATAGATTACAGTTGCGGTATAATATTGTATAATATAATTAGAAACATCTAATTTCACTTAGTAGTTTATTTAAAGTGTAAATTACAAAATTTCTACAACAAATTACCTGGAATCAAAAATTATGTAATACTTCATAATTTTATGTGTCTTTTTGAATAAATAAAACATTTATATTTTAATGACCAATGTGCGATTAGAAAAAAAGCTATATTAAAAACAAGTACTTCGCCTTGGTACTGGCAGCCTGGGCAACTAATTAGAAACCGTATACTTTTTTAGTTTCTAAATTTGAATGTTTATTTATGTACTTATATATTTTTGCCCGCTATTTCTAAACAGTTCTAATAAATTTTGTCTAACTTTATTGTGTGAACAAATAAGAATTGTGATGCATCTACAAAAAAAGTAATAGTTAATTTGAATTTTAATCTTTGAACTTTTGAAGCTCTTTAATTCCGTCCTCCATGATGGCACTACTTCGAAGCCGTAGAGTAGAGTGCGATGGGCTTCTTTTGAAGAAGTATAGACCGATTTCCTTCCTGAACCTCGTATATTTGCTGTTCGTTTCAAGAGTCTTTATAAATCATCTCGCACTTAGACTCGACGACTTCCGGCCTCCCGAACAAGCCGGTTTCAGAAAAGGCTTTAGTACCATAGACCACACCCTTACATACCCTTCGGCCAATTGTACATAAGACCGAAGAGTACAATCTGCCACTTTCTCTTGCGTATGTAGACTATGAGTAAGCCTTTGATTCCGTCGAAACTTGGGTGGTTTCTTTTGTCTTTTCTTCAGCCCCTTCAGCAGTGCTAAGTAGACTGTCGCTATATCGAAATGCTGAAGCGTTTGTGCGGTAGGGCTCAGATGGCTGTCCGAGTACAGAACCAGAGAACGAAACCGTTCTAAATACAGAGAGCTGTAAGACAACGTGAGGTTATATTTCCGAAAGTTTTCACCGTTGTATTGTAAGACGATTTCAAGTTACTGAACAGTAAACGGCATGATATTAACATTACTAGCGATTGCATCACTCACCTTTGATTTGCCGGTAATATAGTCCGATGCATAATCGCTGGAGGGTTTCAGTACTATGCTCAATGACTTCCTACTCCCAACGGATAGGTCTTCATATGAACATGGACAAAACAAGAGTCATGTGTAACGTCTATGTCGTACCTATGCCGGTAGTTATTGGGAGCACTACTCTCGAAGATGTCGACGAGTATATTTACCTAGGACAAATTGTCCGACTAGGTAAGTCCAACTTCGACCGAGAGGTCCATCGACAGAGTCGTCTCGGCTAGACAGCGTTCGACACATCTTCTCGTCACGTATACCTGAAAACTTGAAAACATGTGCGTGTTGCGTGTTGAAATTAATGGGTCTGTAATTATATACATGATATGTATGGAATGCACATCAGGTAATTCTTATCAGTTACGTCAAACCAAATGCCGGCTGAGATTTGGTTTGACGTAACTGATAAGAATTACCTAATTTCAGCCACATAATATAAATCTGGGCTGTCATAAACTGGAATTAATATCATTAATTAGACCTTAATATATTTTAAAGTAAGGAAGTTATGATCGATTCGTCTATGTTTTAAAATTGGTTTTTGATTTTAAAGTTTAGCAATAGATGTAATTGCTTTTCTATCATACATTCGGTGTAAGTATACTAAGAACAACTTATATATTCAATTATTTTTTGAGAAAGACAAAAACAAGAAATTAATATAATTAACTATAATATAGTAATACAAATTATAACTTATAACATTATTGAAAAACTCGTGACAAGGAAAGTGGTTCAGATGTTCATTTGTGGGCTTGTTTTAATTTTTAAAAATATTGTGCGCTAATTAAAATAGCAAGAATTATTTAAACTTTAAATTGGCACTGTTAGGCTGGTAATAGATAAAATTTATACATAGTGAGTGGTATTAAAATGAAAATATGCAAAATGTATTTCGAACAAATTAGGCGCACCCATATAAAACAGAACTCTTCATTATTTCTATAGGAAAACTTTCCATTACAAGACTCCGTAGAGAGGTAATTTATATTACAAAAATTATTATATTAGTCTTGAGGTGGTGGGTCTATCAAGGATAGTTGTAGATGTCTAAGGGCTACAGCATCCACTTACCATCACCATCAGGTGGATTGTGTGCTCGTTTGTCACCCTTATTCTATAAAAAATGTACTTTCATAATTATAAATGTTCTAATTGTATAAAAATTACACAGCGTTGTTTACAATTGACAATATTTCAGACATGTAGATTAAAATTACATTCTAGCACTAAACCGCAAATACTGGCATTCAGACGCAAAACAAACTGATCTGGAAAATGGTATATGATGAGTTAATGAACGAATTCCAATGAAACCGATTTATCAGGGACTCTTGATCCTTCATACCCAGACATAATCGGGTGTCTAATGCAGATGGAGCTGTTTATGATCTGCGCAGGTCCTTAATTTGATTGCGTGCGCTATAACGCCTCATTTTGCTGCGTGTAAATACGCAATTGTTGTACGGAAGTGTCAATAAAACGCAACAAATTATACGAAACGTGAAGACTCTGTCCTAGTGTACATTAGGTCTATATTGGTATTGCAAATTTACGAGTATGTCAACAAGCACGTGGTGACTTTGAATGAAGATTAAATTTAATTGTCGAATTTTCATATTAGTTGATAGGGAATTAATGATGTGATTGTTGCTTATCCGATTACATAGCCTGATATAAAATATTATATTTGCTTAGCAGCGATGGGAATAGTGTAGTGGCGGTGTAAGAATATCCACTAGGGTAAGCAGTATAATGATTGGCACTTTAAGCGGATTTCTACTTGTAAGCAAAGACGTATAAGTGGTTAATTCTCGTAAATAAACAAATTTGTTATATTTTTTATTGTTTTGTAGGATTTTAGTTTAGATAGCCATAAATAAAATAATGCATTACGTTTAAAAAGAAATGTTTAATTAAGTTAAAAATCTAATTAAACTTTTTTCTAGGCAATGCTACAATCATTGGCACTTTAGCATAGTGAATGGCACTGTAAATTAAGTATAATCATTGGCACCATTGGAAGTCTTAAAAAAAGTTATACCCAGATCTTTCTAAGCTCCATCTTATTGTTATAAGTTATAACACTTATTTTGAACAAATCTTCTTAAAAAAATTTCCTTAGATCTTCATCTGAAAGCGGTTTCGTTTGTCTACCATGTTTTTTTTTTCTTCGTATATATTTTTGATGTGACTTTTTTAGTAAAACCTTTCGTATTTTCTCGATATTTTGTAGAAATAGAACTTTATTTCGGTATTTTAGATTAAACATATAGAGAGTATTATAATGTTAGGAGTTTTTGGCTTCGTTCTTCTTGTTTTGTTTGTCAGTTTGTTTCTATATTTGGCCGACTAATTCAATTCTGCATTTTCCATTTGTGCCCCATTTTTCCATTATTTTTTTAGCTCCGCTGCTTCCGAATCTTCACTTGTTAGCACAAAATAATGGCGTTGTTTACCTGCTTTTTGCTTTTTGATACGTATTTGGCAATGGAAAAAACTATATAAATATTTTTAGGGCTTTCTAAAAGATTTTAGTTTGTTTCGACATCCACAATTACCCATTTACCTCCAACAAATTCTAAATTTGCTGCCTAGTTGATGAAAAACATAAGGGTTAGTTTTTTTTTCTGATA